ACCTGTGTAAGCATCCTTGTGACTTCTCTGACAGGGGACATTTAAATAAATAAATAAATACTGAGGATCACACTCCGAAGCAAACTTCAAGATTACATCTATCAGGCTATTCAGATGCTCTTATAAGAGAATTGTTGTATACCTGGTGTAAGTGAACTCAGAAATCAAAACTTCTTTTAAAGTTTCCCAGGAGGCAAGGTGGCATGGTATAGTTCAGATCTCAGGTGGGTCGGTACTTGGAAGGGAGACTATCAAGGAAGATTCTGCTGAGGAAGGCAATGCCAAACCACCTCTGCTTCTCACTTGCCACAAAAAAACCCTTGATGGGGGTCACCATAAATTGGCTGTGACTTGCTGGCACTTTACACATATAATGCTCAATTTTGGCTCAGAATGGCTCAAAAGTATTTCCAGAGATTTATTGTTCTAATTTTATGACATTCTCCAGCTGTTCTTTTCTGCAGGTATGTAGAGTGGTGTGGTATAGCATGATTCATTGGATCTCGAAAGCTAAGCAGGGTTGATACTTGGAAGGAAGACCGTCAAGGAAGATTCTGCAGAGGAAAAGTCCAGTAGCACCTTAGGTAAAGGTAAAGGTTTCCCTTGCTCGAAAGCCAGGCGAATCCGACTCTAGGGTTGCGGTGCTCATCTCCGTTTCAAAGCCGAAGAGCCAGCGCTGTCCGAAGACGTTTCCGTGGTCATGTGGCCAGCATGACTAAACACCAAGGCACACGGAACGCTGTTCCCTTCCCACCAAAGTGGTACCTATTTATCTACTTGCAATTTCTTGCTTTTGAACTGCTAGGTTGGCAGGAGCTGGAACTAGAGATGGGAGCTCACTCCATCATGCGTCACCTGGGTCTCGAACTGCTGAACTCCTGACCTTCCACAGCCTGCAGTTCGGCGTCTTAACCACTTGAGCCACCGCAGCTCCTTTAGTAGCACCTTAAAGACTAACAAAATTTGTGGTAGGGTATCAGCTTTTGTGAGTCACTGCTCACTTCTTCAGATAGTTTTATCTGAAGCTTTATCTCACTTTATCTGAAGAAGTGAGCAGTGATTCATGAAAGCTCAAACCCTACCACAAAATTTATTAGCCTTTAAGGTGCTCCTGGACTTTTCCTCTTTTCCTCTGCAGAGTCTTCCTTGGCGCTCTCCCTTCCAAGTACCAACCTTGCTTAGCTTCCAAGATCTTTTCTTTTGTCTACTGCTACAGACAGACTTACACAACTACCCACCTTGATCTATCTTAGGGTTGCCAAGTCTGGGTTGGAAAATACCTGGAGACTTTGGGGGTGGAGCCAGGAGAGGGCGGGGTTTGGGGAAGGGAGGGGGCTCAGCATAGTACAATGCCATAGAGTCCACCCTTCAAAGCAGCCATTTTCTCCAGGGCAGCTGAACACTGTCAGCTGGGGATCAGTGGTAAAAGCGGGAGATCCCCAGGCCCCACCTGGAGGCTGGCAACCCTAATCTATCTGCAGAGGAAGGCAATGCGAAACCACCTCTGTTTTTTATTTGCCTTGAAAGCCCCTTGTTGGAGTCACCATAAGCTGGCTGCCACTTGACAGCACTTTATACACATACAAACACACAGTAAAAGTTGCAAGTAAGTAGTATTTCATTATTTAAGACTGTGGCTCTAAATTATTTTGAAGTAATCTCCTCTGGAATGAAAGGGACTTGATTTCATAAATACTCAGGCATAAATGTTGCCGGTGCTGGATGGTGCAATCCACATCCCCTTGAAGTAAATGTCAAACTTGTGTTGATATTCTTTCCTCAGGAGGCACTTGCTGAAAAGGAATATTGTTTCAAAAGGATAGGCTGTGATTAATTCACTGTATGTGGAGCAGGGTGTTTCTTGCAAGGCATGAGTAATGTATCCAGTCCGGACAAGTCCAGACAAGTCCAGAGACAAACGCAGAGCTTCGCTCCAAGAGACAATGGACTATGCGGATCCTAGCCCGCTCCAATCAGGGGGCTAGGTTCCCAGCCGAGAGCCTATGGGACTCTCGGCCACCGTAAATAACCTATAGGGAAGTAGGGGTGTGTTTTGGGTGGTGGTTTCTCGGGGGATATAAGCCGGCCTGCAAGCCGGCCAAAGTCGTCTTGTTCCGGATAAAATAAAGTACGCTTTGCTGAAATCACTCTCCGTTTCCATGCTTTTCAGCT